TATTATTATTATTATTATTATTATTATTATTATTATTATTATTATTATTATTATTTGTAAATTGCTTACAAGATAATGGTATAAGTAAAAACATAGTTATGAATACATGGATACATATAAGAAAAAATTTAAAAAATATAAAAGAAACAATAGGACAGGGACGGTAGGCACGTTGGTGCGCTTATGCATGCCCCCTACAGACCTCTTAGGAAAGGGGTGAAGTCAATAGTAAACAGTCTAAGGTTAACGTTTTTGGGGTTTGGAGAAAAAAACCATAGAGTCAGGTAGAGTATTCCAGACATTGACCACTCTGTTGCTGAAGTCGTATTTCCTGCAATCAAGTTTGGTGCGGTTAACCTTGAGTTTGTATCTATTGTGTGCTCTTGTGTTGTTAAGGTTGAAGCTGAAATATTCACTGACTGGTAGGACATTGCAATGTATGATTTTATATACTATACTTAGATCGGACCAAAGATGGCATAGTAACTGTGTTAATATCAGATATGTAATGTGGGTTCCAGACTGATGAGCTGTATTCGAGTATTGGTCTAGCAAATGTTTTGTATGCTCTAGTTAGTAGTGTAATATTACCAGAGAAAAAGCTACGTAAGATTAGGTTAACAACTCTTAATGCCTTTTTGTCTATGTAGTGACAGTGGGCTCTAGCACTTAGGTCATTTGAGATGAGTTCTCCAAGATCCTTGACAGAGTTTGGATCATCAACAAGATATTGACTATTCAGCTTGTATTTTATTTTCTGATTTTTTTTGCCAATACGTAGGACACAGAATGTATTTGTTGAGATTTGAAGTTGCCATTTGTTTGACCATTCTGATACATAGCCAAGATCTTTTTGAAGGGAAGCAGTATTGTCTGTGGTGTTGAATAACTTTACATCATCTGCGAAGAGAACGCAGTTGCTCTTGCTATGATCACAGAGGTCAATTATGTATAGTATGAAAAGAGTTGATCCTAGAACACTGCCTTGGGGGACACCACTGTTGACAGGTACAGAATTTGATAGGGCACTCCCAATTTTGACTATTTGTTGTCTGTCTGACAGGAATGCTTCTATCCAGTTATGAAGGTGTCCAGAGATACCGTAAGATTTTATTTTTAGGAGTAGTTTGTCATGTACCACTGAATCAAAGGCTTTGCAGAAGTCTATGTAGATTGCATCTATTGCTTTGCCCTGGTCGAGTTATGTAGTCCATATGTTTTTGCAGTGTAAGAGTTGCAGATTACAGGATAGTTTTTTTCTGAAACCAAATTGTTTATTAGAGAGTAGGTTGTTTGTTTCTAAGTGGAGGATGATGGATTGATTAATAATTGATTCCATGACTTTACAGGTGATGCAGCATAAAGAGATTGGTCTGTAATTTTCAACTAGGCTACTGAAAGTTTTCTGTGAAATTTCGCATATCCTCCATCTTGGGAAAATCAAAACCGTTGCAAATGACCTTTGATCTCTGTTGATTAAAATAAGGGAGAATTGTTTGTTCTTTAGCTGTCTGGATCCATCGTTCATTCTCAACAAGAAGCAGAAAGAAAAAAATCAAAATAAATTTCATTTCCACAAAAAAAAATGTTTATGAGAGTAGATATTAATAATTAGTCAGCCACATTCAGATACACTAAATTGAGTTAAAGTTTACTTTAAGAAATAGCACAGTCCAATAAACAGTCCAGGTCATGCACGTTTTACAGTCCAAAAAATATCTGATTACAAAGTCTTCTTACCAGTTGCCTTTGACCGGTTGTCATTTATAGTAAACAAAGATATCAAAGTATAAACACAGCAGAGAACCTTAGATAGCAACAGAATGTCGGAGATACAGAACGGCAAAGATACAGAGTTGCATAGATACAGATTGCAGAGAGACAGATTGCAGACAGAACAAGCTATGATCTCTAGCTCTCTCTTATGGCAATTCACAAAACAATCAGCCAATCGGAACATAGTACAAATCAATACAGTGACTTTGTCTTAAAGCTACAAACATACATTATTGGTTTATATATTGCTAACCCAACTAATTGGTGTACAGATTCCTAACATTGGCAATATATTTTCCAAAGCACCAGAAGGCAAACAAGAAGCAATGGATAGAAACTGAACAAAGAGAAACAAAGACAGTGAAAACAATTAACCAGAGTAACTGCTTGCCACCAGAAGTTCTGGGTGCTCCACCACTGAAGGTTTTTAAGAAAAGACTGGGCAGCCATTTCTCTAGAATGGTATAGAGTTCTCCCCAAGGTCCCTTCTAATTGTTATTCTGTGATTCTGACACCTTTCCCAGGACCTCTACTCAGAGTTTGGCATCCTCAGAATTTTTCTGCCTGAGCAAGCGGTTGGACTAGATGACCTCCATAGTTCCTTTCAACTCTGTTAAACACACCTGTATTTATGCTCTGGACTATAGACATTCAATGCATGTAAACCCTGAAAAATACCTGGGCAAAAGAAAGGCAGTAAAATCACTCTAGGTGTAGGGACAGTGTAAAATATTAATATATGATAAATAATGGAACAATTAAAAATAATAACAGTTTTCTCTCTGCCCCTCCTTCCTATTTTTTTCTTTCTTTCTCTTTTCTCTTCCTCTTTCTTGCTTTCTCTCTTTCTTTCTCTTCCTTCCTCTTTCTTTCATGCTCATTCTTTCTCTCAGGTGCTCTATGGCCAGCCACACAGATGAAGCAATAATCACAGAATCCAGAGAAATATCAGTGTTTTATTCCATCACGGATGGTAGCAAGAAGCAACGAACATATATAAATAAAGTTAGTTCTGAGAGTTCACCGATCCCAGCATTTTATTTATCCCACCCGGTAATTACCTTCCAAATCCAGCAGCCTCTCCCCACAGCTAGCCAGCATCTCGTTCCTAATTGGTGACAGCTAACTTCGCTCTCCCACACCACAATTCGCCCCTCACCAAGCTGTGCTACGTTAAGTGAACCCCTAACACCTCCACCAAGTTAACACGCTTCCAGACGTCCCTTATCAGCTCAGCGATCTCCGGCCAGCTTTGGTTCCCTCATGCTGCTTCAATCACCATGGCTTGTTGTATTGTTAGCGCCTGCCGCTGTTGTGGAGGAAAAGTGGATCCAAGCTCCATTGCTCAGCTGGCTTGGAGAGTTCGTGGTTCTTTCTTTTTTGCTTTCTTTCTTTCTTTCCCTTCCTTTCTTTCTTTCCCTTTCTTTCTTTCTTTCTTTCTTTCTTTCTTTCTTTCTTTCTGTCTGTCTTTCTGTCTGTCTGTCTGTCTCTTCTTTCTTTCTGTCTCTTCTTTCTTTCTTTCTTTCTTTCTTTCTTTCTTTTTTCTTTTTTTCTTTCTTTCTTTCTTTCTTTCTTTCTTTCTTTCTTTCTTTCTTTCTTTCTTTCTTTCTTTCTTTCTTTCTTTCTTTCTTTCCCTTCCTTTCTTTCTTGGTCTTTCTTTCTCTTTCTGTCTCTTCTTTCTTTCTTTCTTTCTTTCTTTCTTTCTTTCTTTCTTTCTTTCTTTCTTTCTTTCTTTTCTTTCTTTCTTTCTCTCCCTTCCTCTTTCTTTCTTGCTCTTTTTTCTTTCAGCCGAGCACCTGTAAATAAAGTTAGCGCTTAGTGTTCACCGATCCCAGCATTCTATTTATCCCACCTTCCCACATCCAGCAGCCCGTTCCTAATTGGTGACAGCTAACTTCGCTGTCCCACACCACAATTCGCCCCTCACCAAGCTGTGCTACGTTAAGTGAACCCCTAACACCTCCACCAAGTTAACACGCTTCCGGACGTCCCTGTCGGCTCAGCGATCTCCGGCCAGCTTTGGTTCCCTCGTGCTGCTTCAATCACCATGGCTTGTTGTATTGTTAGCGCCCAACGCTGTTGCGGGGGAAAAAGTGGATCCAAAGCTCCGTTGCTGAGCTGATGTCTCAGCTGGCTTGGAGAGTTCGTGGCAGGCTTTACTGACAGCTAGCCTTCAACCAGCGGGTACATCTGATGGTGTCGAGCTGCAGCTCCAGCCGAGCGCGACACTTTATCTCTTTCTCTCCCTTCCTATTGACCGGTATGTGGCTCTCTTCTTCTCAGTTTGGTATCAATACTATCAGTCCATATGCCTGTCCACCATGGTCCTACATGGATAATCTCTTTATGCATTAAATTACTCTGTTTGGGACTGTTTGGGTTAAAGAGTCCCACCATTCTACCACGTTCTCATATGCACCTCAGTTTGCGTTCCACTCATTGTGATCTCGAGTCTGACCCTCTTCATCAAAAGCTACCTTAAATTACGAATGAAAAAACAAGGAAAGCTACCCAAAGCTATCCTGCTTGCCCTCCTTTTCTTCCTCATCTTTTCTTTCCCACTGATTGGCATTTGTCTAATCAATGTTATTTACAATGAAAAATGTTTACATTTCATTATGTATGGCTACTTATGTGCCTATCTAAACAGGAGTGTTAACCCAGTCATCTATTTTCTAGTGGGGAGAATAGAAGGAACATAAAATCACATGCCACCTAAAAAAATTGCCTTCAGTGAGTTTTTGAGGAGGAAGAAGAGAATGAAAAGCAACCAAAAAAATCCATATTTCTATATCTCCCTGCCAGGATCTGAAAATTAATTCAGACAACCTGGAAAATACAGGATCAGTAGAAATTTAATGCCAAAGTATTTAGGAAATTAGTCTATCATTTTCTCAGCCAGAACAGTGGCTTCTAAGACTTTTCAAACCGATGCTGTTGAGATGACCTGATGAAAAAACAGATGGGTTAAAGGGGGTTACACTTTTATTTAATCTCAGTTTTAGATGGGAGCAGCTGAATGAATAGTTTTCCTTATTTTCAAATGTCTGCATTTTCTCTTTGCTCATTTGCAAGCACAAATCAAAATGCCGTCTCTCCTAATTGAAGGAATCTTTTAGTTCACTTCAGAGGGTTTGTTGTGTTTGAGGAGCTGGGTCAGAACACCTTGGTTACCTTTGGTGAAAGAGGAAAGGAAGGGGAAATGCTACCCCATTTTCAAAGGCTTCCCTTCTTTCCCAATGAAGATAACAGACAGATATGGAAGCAAGTGGAAGAAGCAGCTCAAGCCAGCAATTTTGTACCTAAGGCGCTGGGGAGCAATAGCAATAAACGATGGTCATGTTATATCAACAAAGAAGCTCACATGTAATAATTGGTGATGTATACCAGGAAACAGCAGAGCCATTTTTGTAATCTCGTGAATAAGGAGAAAACAAGGCCAGGCAATGCAGGCAGGAAGCAGGAGATTGAATGGGTTTGTTTTCGATCAGGGTAACCACAGTGAAAAAATGTGAGAACCACAGCAGATGACTAATTTCAGCAGGACATATGAAACTCAGGGCTAAATTATGGAGTCTTTGATGCTTTCTGAGCTGGGATCTTTCCTTGAAGATCTTTTAATTACCAAACTAGGTAACATCATAGAGGCATTCGAGTGTGCTGATTGATGTCTGTTTATATGCAATAGCTTACCTGCCTTGTGTTGGCAAGGATGTGGCTTTCCTTTTGGCAGTAAAAAAACATCTGCAAGCAAAAACAAACAAACTCAGAGACCACCAAGGGCTGCACAATGATTGATATCTATAGGACCAAAGCTCCCTTAGTTTTGGAGAAGATGACATTTGTCTCTGAATCTGTCCAACAATAACATAATGTTGAGGAAAGAGGAAGAGAGGAAGAGGGGAAGGGATGCTTTGAGGCAACTAAGGGGCATGACCCTTATTTCCTTACAGGGCAATGAACGGGACAGATTTTATAAGCAGCTACAGTTCTCCTTCTGTATCTGGAAAAGTGATCAAACAAGCTATCCTCTACAAGTCATTTCTGCTGTGCGTCTATTGAGAGCCGCCAAGGTAAACCGAGTCCTTTACACTGTGGGAGTCAAGATTCATTTCCGCAGAAGATAACCGCCACATTGCCCTGAATAATAATTATCAAAATTAGACAATTTTATTGAGTAAATGACACTCATGGCAGAAATCCAAGTGGCAGCCTTTTTGTACCTTTCTCTTTCTATCGAGATGTAACCTTGTCTTATTTACTCAGTTTAATCTGTATTCCAGGGATTGTTGGAAATGGAATTGTCATCATATCTTTGGGTTTCTATATTAAGAGGAATTCTTTCATTGTCTATATCCTCAATTTGTCCATGGCTGACAGTGGAACACTCCTATTCTTATTTGTGAGCGGAATACTGATCCCGACTAGGCGTTTTTCCTTAGAACTAACACAATGTTTAATATTCACATATTGCACTGGTCAATTTCTTTTGACAATCATCAGCATTGACGGGTGTTTGGCACTCTTCTTCCCAATTTGGCATCGATGTCATCAGCCCTCATACCTGTCCACTACACTCTGTGCCTTTTCATGGATAGCCTCTCCACTCCTCTGTGTAATTAATTATGCTTTGTTTCAGGATGAACTGTACGAAAGCTTCCCCTCATTCAACCACATTTTCACATGTTACCTCAGTTTGTGTCCCACTTATGGTGGCCTCCAGCTTGGCCCCCTTCATCAAAGGCTACCTTAAATCCCAAATGAAGAGGCAAAGAAAACTTCTCAAAGCCATCTTGCTTGCCCTCTTTTTCTTCCTTATTTGTTCCATTCCACCGTGTGTCATTTATCTGAAAGATGTTCTTTTCAAACATATAATTGAAAGGTATGGAAATTTAATCACATGTGGCTACCTCTGTCCCTGTCTTAACAGCAGCGTTAACCCACTGATCTATTTTCTGCTGGGGAGAAAGAAGGAATATAACACTATGTGCAACCTAAAAGTTAACCTTCAGAGACTTTTCAAAGAGGAAGAAGAAAGTGAAGAGCAACCAGGTGTGATGTACTCATGAGAATGAGGGTGGGAAATCATATTTTTGTAACGTCCTGCCAGGATATGACAGTTAATTCAGACAAATCTGCGCTAGCAAATCCAGGATTATCAGAAATGTACTGCCAAAGAATTTAGAAAATTAGTCTGTCACTTTTTATAACCAGAACAGTGGTTTCCCAGGCATTTCAAACAGTTCCTATTGTGATGACAATGAAATAACACACGGCTTAAAGGAGTTAAATCTTCTCTTGGATTTTAGCTATTAGCTGGGAACTTCTGAATGAAGGTTTTCCTTATCTCCACATTTCTACACTTGCTCTTTGTTCATTTGTGCACACAAATCAAAATGTTCCCATGTTTGCAATATTTCAAACAGATGCTATTGTGATGACAACGAAATGACACATGGATTAAAGGGTTTTGGATCTCAGTTATTATCCTGGAGCATCTGAATGGAATGATTCTCCCTATCTTTAAATGTATGCACTTGCTCTTTGTTTATTTGCAAGCACAACTGAAAATGCTCCTAACAGTTTTTAAAATGTTTTGATGTTCCTAACTCTTTTATCCTCATAGGATAATTCATTTACCAGTAAGACCTGGTCTGTGACTCTGGAAAACTAATTCTGAGTTAGCCTCCACATGGCATCCATCCCATATATATGCTTTAATTAAAATGTCGTGTATGCTTAATTATATTGCATGATGGATTACAATTGTGGTGACACTGATTGTAAATTTGCTTTAACTAAAATTGTAATCATTTAGTCTTGTGGTTTATACTTTCTAATTTATATATTGTTATCCATTCTGAATGTTCAATAAAAGGAAGGATATAAATTTAGCAAATAAATAATAATTCACTGTGTTGTGTGATAGTCTAGTGTTTTCCTATGGCCGCTGAGATGCACATTTTCCAAAATTACCTTTCCTAAAATTCATGTAATGCTAGATTGTTCCCTGTTTCCCTCTCAACCTGCCAAAAGTGATCTTCCACTTTGAAATTTCACTTCTATCACTTCATATCCACTCCACTATCCTTAATTCTATGTTGGTTACACATGCACAATTCGGCCAGGCTTTTATGATGTAGTTATATTCCTTTCCTCCCACAAGAGCGATTCCAGGACAATGGTTTATTATGGCCCTTGCTCTCAAAGATGCTTTTTTTTCCCCAAAGAAAAACAAAACTACGAAAGTCCAGTTGCCTCTTGAAAAAGTACTTTTGAGACAACCAAGACCCGAAAGACGGACCATCCCCATAGACCTAATAAGACTGTTGCTGTTAATAATCCACAGATTTTTTTTTTCTCTTTCCACTTTGGACATCTCTGCAGCTGATGATCAAGGCGCCAGGCTCTCCAAATCTATCAACTAGAAAGGCGATGGCATGGGGGACTTCCAAGCTCCTCCGGGAAGGTTGTTTGGTTTTTCTCAACCCCAAAAGCTCCACTTTCCAAGCGATTTCCCTACTCCAGTCCGCGACGGTCGCCCGACTGCAGGCGAGAAAGCTCCGCCTGAAGTGACGAAAGAAGGACCCGATTTATAAGGGCTGCAAAATCAACGCAGCCTTCTTTTTGGCCACCAAGCGCCTTTAATGAAACTTTGGACGACTGCGTCACTTGCACGCCTGGTTGGAACCACCCTTTCTCCTTCGCCCGCAAAGTTTCAGCTCCTAAATCATTGAAAATAACAGCTTAGAATCGCGTAGAATCGCTTTACTTGCACAGGTACGTCGTGGTTATTCTTAGGTTTGTTTGTTTGTTTTTTCAAAAAAAAAGTGAGGGGGGGAATCAAAATTGCAATGCCCACTGAGGGGCGGAGGGGGGGCGATGAAAAAATAAATAAATTTTTAAAATAAATAAATAAATGAGGAAGCATAGCTTCTCCCCTCTTTTAATTTTCTCAATTTTATTTTAATTATCTCATCTCAATTCAAATCATTGTATTTATATTTTTTGTCTGTCCTGTTTCAATTATCTATTATCTTTTCTCATTAAACAAAATTTCTTCTGTAGTTACTGACTGGAGTATGACGCCTTTATATCTTTTCCCTAAAGTTGTAACATTCAATATAATACATAACTTCCATTTGGATTCTGCTTGGTACATTCTTAAAATACACACTGTATTCTTAAATATAAATATATATATTCCATTCCAATTCAATTCTATCATTAATATTAATGTTCATTAAAGTCTCAACATCTTTAACATTACTTTTCAATTAAATATCATACTTCTATGGGAACAATTATAAGCTTTCCATAGTTAATTCCCCCCCGCTTCACTTATATTTTATAAAACATTAATTAAAATGTTCCTGTTCCTTCCTAATTCAATTTTCTCATTTATTTTATTTCACTTATTTTATTCACAAACATTTCACTAAATTACACTATTTTAGCCCTCGTTTTAATCATACATTGTTTCCAATTTTCTAAAGTTAGTTTTATTACTAATATAACAATACAATCTTATGTACCTTTACAGGATCCCTTTTTCAGTTGGATTTTCACCCATTATCTCTAAATAGGTCCTGTTTCTCTATATCTTGCCCTGGTCCTTTGTTACTTCTTTTCCTTTCCTTCTTCCCTCTCTTCTTCTCTCTCCCCTTTTTACCCCCTTGTCTCTCTAATTCTCTCTTCTGTATTCCCCTTTTCTGTTGCTTTCCAGTATTATACTTATTTTTCAAATTATTTTTCTTTGTTTTTTTTCAAGTCTTAAATTCTCCATTCTTTTTCCCCCCTTTCCTTTTTTTCCCCACATAGAATTACTTGTTCATTAAAGATGGCTTCTTCTTTGTCCCAGTCTTCTTGTTTTGCAGTCTTTTCTTGTTGTTTCTCATAGTTCCAAATCTCCATTTCTACGAATTGAAAAATGAAGCCAAAAGAACCCTTCCCTTCTTGTGCATCTTCTTTGTACTTTTTAAGTTCCATTTTCAATTCATCCAGAAGTGGTGCCATTGTATAAATTTTTAAACAACCACCCAATTGATTTTAGTCATTCAAATATAATAACCAAAAATCCAAAAATCACCAAATAATCCAAATACACGCAAGCTGTTTCTTTTTTGCTCTTTTTTTTCACTTTCTCTTCCTGGGGTTACTATTTAGTTGCAAAGTTTCAGTTAAAATGTATCTTTTAGAAGTCTTGTTGAAGTTTTATTTTAGATTCTTTTTAATTCCAGGCAGTCTCCTCCCTCTTCCAGTTCCTGCCCTTATTCTTTTTCTCTCCCTTCCTGCTTATGAAAAAGAAATCTTTATTATCCCTTTGGCATTTTGTTTTATTTTCAGCTTAATTGCCTATTGATGTCAAAGCAGATTTTTCCAATTTCTTATTTAAGTCTCTTAGTTGTCAGTATAGGGAAGGAGAGAGAAGGAAAAAAAAAAAAAAGCCAAACCTTTCCCTTTTCACTTTCCTTCACTGCTTCCGACTCTTCTTTGGGAGCGATGTTGTTTTTTGTAGGTTTAAATTCCAGGGTACCTTGGTTGTTGCTTCTACAATTTAACCCAGTCAGCTAAAACTTTCACTTCATATCTTCCTCCGGCACATTCTTTTCCAGTCGAGTTCTTTGTGGTGGCCATTCCTGACCACCGCTACAACCGCCTTTGGGAAAGGGAGTAATGGCCAGCTGAGGAGGAGAGATGTGGCTCTCCTCAACCCTGCTGGCAGTCTCCCCCCTCTTCACCACCTCTACGGGGTGGCTTAGTCCTGAAACCAGCCGGCTCGGGGCGCTCCAGCAGCAAGCCCAGACAGAAACCATGCACGATCGTGGATTTCTGTCTATCGCTGAAGCCCTTCAAACCAATCCTAATTGGTTTTTCTTTCCCATGAAGTCCATATTTCACATAAATCCACTCATCTAACCTCTGTATCTGTACTAGTTGTTTTGTAGAAAAGTTCCCATATTGTAAAATATTCTGAATCTTCTTTTTCTTTAATTTTTAGACTTAACCTAGCCATTTCTGCACATTCCAGAATCTTTTTGGTTATATTATCATCTGTAGGGGGTTTCTTCTTTTTTCTTGGTGACTCATGAGGCTGAAATTTCATTTGGTTACTGTAGCTATAACAGCTTCTTCCTACTCTGAATGCTGGGCTGTGACAAGGATGGCCTATAAGTCAGCCATTTTTCTACATTTCAACCAGTGTAATATTTTGAAAGATCTTCCCCACTTCTTTTAGAGAAAAACTTTCACATACTTAGCTAAAATGATGGTTTAGGCGAGAGGTCACCAAACCTGGCAACTTTAAGACTTGTGGATTTCAACTCCCAGAATTTTCCAGCCATTCTTCTTGGATGAGAAGTGAAATGTCTTCAGAAGAAAAACCAGAAAGTCCAATTATCTGCATTGAAAATAGTCTGTGTGGAGACTCCTGGGAGGGGAGGGGCATCGTGGGTCATCAGCTGGTCAGTTCTAATACCAGTTCGACGAACCAGGTGCAAATTTAACATCCAGTTCGCCTGAACCAGGTATAATTCCATTCCTGGGTTTATTAATGTATTCCTGATCTTGTGATTGAATTTGGTCTTGGACTGTAAATACAGTTTATTGCTTGATTTCTTTCAGCCATTTTGACAATGAAAAGAACAGTCAAATTTGCTCTTGTTTAATAATTATATTTCCCTTTACATTGCAGGACCCCAGGTGGTCCACCTTATCCACGGATTTGAACTCTTCTAAGCAAGCAAACACTTTTTTGCACAATGGAGCAACAATTTGATTACTCAGAAGGTATGAATATCATGAAAACTATATTATATATAAACTTTCCCTTTCTTTGTGGGTATACGACTGACAAAAAAAAACCTCAAGTGTTCATAAGGCTTTGTGAACTTCAGAGGTGGTATTCAGCAAGTTCTGACCAGTTCTGGAGAATCGGCAGTGGAAATTTTAAGTAGTTCAGAGAACCTGCAAATACCACCTCTGACTGGCCACACCTCCCTCCATTCTCTGCTTCCTGAGTCCCAGCTGATCATCTGCATCTCCCTTTGTTGCCCTGCACAGGAGAACGGAGCTGGAAAACAGGTTAGTGGGGTGGGGAGGGAATGGGGATTTTGCAGTAGCCTTCCACTGACACACCCACCAAGCCACGCCCACAGAACCGGTAGTTAAAAAATTTGAATCCCATCACTGGTGAGCTTATTCCAAACTCGAAATTCTATCACCAAATGTTGAGTTCCTGTTGTCCACTCTCTCCTGAGGTTGAGGATTTTAATGGCATTTTGAAAACATTCAGTGGGTGAATTCACAAAATGGCTTCTGATGGAATCATTCATAAACTAAGACTTATAGAGAATTTTATCAACACACTGATACCTGTTGCTTCCAACAGGCCACATCCTCCCAGAATTGTCCTTTGGAAGGACACAAGATATGAAGTCAACCTCTTTGTTTTTCAATTAGAAAAAAAAATTAGAGGCCCTGAAGGAAAAACAAGCTTCTTTTTCAAAATGAGCAGTCTTAAAAATTGTTTTGAATTAATTATCACGTTAAATAATTCTGGGGTAGCCTAGAGAATCACAAAGACTGATTATTGGCTAATGATCATCTGGACAATCACAGGAAGAAATTCTACTCAGGATTATTTTATTTATACATTCACAGACTCCCATTCCGAAAGAAAAAAAATCTGTGTGGATGAAGCTTCTAAGCATTTTTGCTGCCTGCTCTTATTGATCAAAATAATGACTTGTTATAATTGCTTCCCTAGGTAGTGCATCAATCCTAGAACAGGAAATACACTATGCCCCTGAGGTTTGGGAAAGATTGAGGTAAGTATGTTATGATGCAAATGTTGTGGTTCACCGGCAGCCTGTGCAGACGGCAGCTGAATCAGGCAGTGGGGACGAATGGGGACCAGTCAGGAAATCTGGAGAGGACTCGGACGAGGGTCCTGTGTCTGATGCAGAGATGGGGTCAGGACCATCTGGGAGTAGGGTGCTGACTCCAGAGCCTCCGGAGTCTGGCAGCAGCAAGGCAGAGGACCCAGGGGAGCCCCTTCCCAGAGCGTGTGTGCACAGAACTGCTAGAAGGCAAGAGCAGCTGAGACAAAAGAGGCGATTTGGGAGTAAGGCTTGGAGATGATTGCCCCTCCCATAAGCTATAAAGGACAGGCAAAGATGACGAAACCTTTGCAGGAAGCAAAGTTGTTCATTCTGTTTGGATTAATCCTTGAAGCTCTGTGTGGATTTTGTACTTCGGTTGATTTTTTATAATTCATTTGGCACTCTAGTTGTTGCCAGCAATTCAAAGGAGATAAAGGTGGGTGCTTATCTCAAAGGGACTGTTTGGGACTCATTACCATCTGGGAATGAAAATAATTCCCAGCATTGAAATAAAACAAGAGTTGTTTTAACTAAGTGTGTGCTTAATTACGGTCTCAGAAAGCCTTGGTCAGAACAACAAAATATTTTCTTTTCAGGAATGGTGTTAACCGTCCAATCATTTCATAATATTCCAAAAGGAAAATTGCTTTGGTGGTCTGCCCATTGGTGACTGCTGGAACAAGATCACTTTACTTTGAAGGGAATCTTCCACGGTGGAGATTGCTCAATTCACCATATAATCAGGAGAACATTCCAGCTTTTTGGTCTTTGCTGAAATCCTTGGGACTTTATTTTTTTATTTTTTTTATTTTGATTTGTCAATCGCTTACAAGATAATAGGTATAAGTATATACATAGTCATGAATACATGAAATGGGTACATATATGAAAAATAAAAGAAACAATAGGACAGGGATGGTAGGCACATTGACACGCTTATGCCCGCCCCCTACAGACCTCTTAGGAAAGGGGTGAGGTCAATAGTAGACAGTCTAAGGTTAAAGTTTTTGGGGTTTGGGGGAAGAAACCACAGAGTCAGTCAGAGTTATCCAGACATTGACCACTCTGTTGCTGAAGTCATATTTCCTGTAATCAAGTTTCTTTCTTGATCACATGACAACTGTCACATATGGCGTTCACCTATAGGCCCACAATCATTTTCCTTTGCTTGTAGAAAAAATCAGCAACCCCAGGATTTCCAGATCCTTTGATTATAACTTTCTCTAACCTACAGTTACTTAACATCTGCTATAAGGTGGATATGTGTTATTTGTTGTTGTCATTTCCCCCATCTGACAGATGTAGTTTAAAATCATCTAACTTTTTCAGTATCAAAATGAGCAGCTTTTCTCTAATAAACACTAGCTATACTTACTAGAATTAACAAACTCTATGTGAACTTGACAAGCCCTTAATCAATTACACTCTGAAAGCTAACTGCTACCAATAGCTGTGGGAACTATGATTCTTTGTTCTTTGTGTACGTGCTAGGACAACAGAGCCTTCTGGTAGTTGGCTGGAACACGGAGCAAAGACAAATTGTTGCCATTTCTTAACCAGAACTGTAGCAAACTTAAACTCTGCAGCCTTGTATGCTTTATGCGAATGATCAGTGCATGTTGTGTGATGTAATGCGTTTGTGATAGGACGTTAACAAAATTGCTACGTTAACAAAGATGGCTTCTAATAAAAGAGGGTTTCGGAGTTCTCTCTGCGCTCTCATCCCAAGACAACTTTGCGTAGTGTCTTCTTTTCATGAGAGACCACCACAAATAGCACATTCATCTCAAAGTGCATTTCCCATTGTGTGCCTGTTTGCACACTTGCAGTTTAGTGGTGGGATTCAACTGATGTGACAACTGGCTTGGTGGGCACACGCTTCATGCAGGCCTGTGTGCCAGATGCGCATTGTGCATTCGCAGTGCTTTTGAAAATAGAAGATTAACTTTTTACTGCAGCCTGGGTGAGCAAAAACAGCTGTGGCATGGCAATCTGGGCTACTGTGCCAATCAGCTGGACTTCAAACAAAGGAAATATAGCACAGAATAGAGCAGGGGTGGATGGGCAGCCCCAAACAATTGCCGGAAATACCAGTTTGCCCGAAGTGGTCCATACTGGCTGAATTCCACCCCTGTTGCAATCCCTTACTCTCCAAAGAATGCAAATATTAAACAATTAGTATGACTTTCCCCTGTATTTATCATCCTTTCCGGTTGTTTGTGTTTTCCTTTGCCTGTTCAAATACCAGGTAACCCGACTCTGCCCTCTGCCACAATATCTAACTGATAGCAGGTTTCCTGAAATACACTTTGAGAGATTTGCACAGAAGCTTCAGCCACTATTGAATTTAGCAATCTTGCAAGAAACTTTAATTTTAGGGCTGTAATTGCCATCAAGTGATCAAAGAACAGATATGCGTTGATATGTGTAAGTTAAAAAAATGTTTCTCTCTGTTTGTCTCCCTGAGTGAGTGTGTGTGTTTGTGTGAGTGTGAAGCAATTATAAGATAATAGGTATAAGTATAGATATAGTTATGACTATATGAAATGGATACATATAAGAAAAATAAAAAGAAACAATAGGACAGGGACGGTAGGCACATTGTTGCGCTTATGGTAGACTGAAGTCACCAAGAAAGATAAAAGCATGTGGGCATGATGTTGCCCATGTTCGTAGTGAATTTAACTTGTTTACATGTTCGATGTCATAATCAGGTGCTCTGTAACATAATAAGAATTGAAATGTGATATTTAAGGACAGTTCACAGATGACAGTCTCTGGAACAGCAAGCTCCTGGGTAACTTGGATGTTTTTTAGATGTAGGACTTTTTATAGAAGATAGCAACACCTACGGATTTTGCAATCTGATCGGTAAACATGATAGTCTTTTACTGTGATAATGGAGTCAGGGAGAGATGCATTGAGCCATGTTTCACAGGCAAATATGATGTCGAATTTAGCCGTATTTAGTAAGAGGAGAAATTCAGGTATTTTATTTACACAGTGTCAGCCTTCAAGATTTTCTACTACTGCTTTGCATATTTTGGCTGCCATAAGTAATGGGGGGAGGAGGGGGCATATTGTCTGGGAAGAGGGCTGGAGGTGTTACATTCTTGTGTTGTGTAAATGAGGAGTGGGGGCGGGAGTATAAATTCCTGCTCTTAGATTTCTATTTCTCACTTAGCTTTCTTTTTTTGGCTGTTGGAGCAGTATTACTTCAAATCAATGAGAAGGGAACTTTACAAATCTGAGCCTACACCTCCCGTAAACTAACTGAAACCGAAAGGAGGTGGGCCGTCTGGGAAAAGGAAGCTTTTGCAGTTCGCTGGGCTCTATTGACATGGAGACATTTCTTGGAAGGAGCAAAACACCCGTTTGAGGTATGGACTGACCATAAGAATTTGGAGGCCTTAAAAATGCCTCAAAAATTGTCTCCTAAACAAGTTTGGTGGGCCCAGTATTTTAAGCAGTTTAACTTTTCACTGAAATACATCCCAGGGGGGAGGAATTTTATGGCGGATGCTTTATCTAGACTGCCTCAATATAACAGTGTTCATCAGGAAGTGATACAGCTAGCCGCCCCAATGGTCACTAGAGCACAAAAGAAGAAACGAGAAGTGGATTTATCGAATGATTTGATGGCTCAATTAAAAGGGGCCCTAAAACTTGATGAATGGTTCCTGGCTCATTCAGATAAGTGTACAGTTAGAGATGAGTTGGCCTGGATGGGAGCAAAGTTGTATGTACCAGAGACACTGAGAAGTCAAATATTGCAACAAGCTCACGACTCTAAAGAGGCTGGTCATTTTGGGTTTGTGAAAACCTTACACCTTATTAAGCGACAATTCTGGTGGCCTACGTTTAAGAAGGACATTGAAAGTTATGTGGCTAGCTGCTCAGTTTGCGCCTCAGCAAAAAGGCCTCCTGGTAAGCCAGCAGGGCTGTTACAAAATGTGGCTAGGCCAACGGCTCTGTGGAAGGAAATCTCTATGGACTTTATAGTAGAGTTACCCAAGAGTACCGGAAAAACGGTTATTCGGGTTGTAACCGATTTGTTTTCCAAACAAGTGCATTTCATACCTTGCTCTAAGATTCCCTCTGCAAAATCGTTGGCTAAGCTGTTTATACTACATATCTGTAGACTGCATGGCGTCCCTGAATGTATAATTTCTGACCGAGGGGTTCAATTCACCTCAAACTTTTAGAGGGAGTTCCTGAAGTTAATAGGCTCTGCCCAGGGCTTAAGCTCCACCCACCATCCCCAAACCAATGGGGCCTGTGAGAGAACTAATGCAGTGTTAGAACAATACCTCAGATGTTACATAAATTATCAACAAGATAATTGGGCTGACTTATTGCCATTTGCCGAAGTGGCATACAACAATTCTGTTCATAAGTAGTACTGGGTTCACCCCCTTTAAAGTGGTGTCAGGACAAGACTTTGTACCCATACCTGAGCTCCCTTGTGAAAGACCTAACATCCAGTTGCTAGACAAATGGATATCAAAACTCCAGTTTAATTGGCCAGTCGCCCATA